TCTCAATATGACCAAATGCTTTGCAATGCATATGATGACATGGCAGTTTTAGTATTTATAACACCCAGGGTGTTACAGTACAATTGAGTACTCACCCTGTATGATCTTGAGTTTTGCAGGTAGTGTTCCCCTAGTCCATGGTTTGTTTTATGCTCCCAAGTCCCACCCGGATCAGGAGTGGTGAAGAGACTCATGTTGCATAGATGTGTGGAGGTGGCACACCCGTACATCAGTTATCATGAAACTATATTTTGTTGAAAGACTTCAGCTAGAACTCTGATGGTAGCATGTAATGTGTGAACTTGTGTTATGACTAAGTATGTGAACCATGGTATTGTAAACTTAAGTACTTTGAACTTGTAATGTAACCTATACATGGTTGTGATGTATTCTCTCTCTCTCGCTGATTTTGGATGAAGGCTGGTATTTTAGTACATCTTATTTGAGGTGTACCGGAATGACCAATTAAGAAATGTGTCCAATTTAATAGCCCCTAGTGGACTATCATTTTGGGTATACTCGATTAAGAGGACGTTGATCCTGGTAGTGTGCACTTGTCGAAAAGTGGTCTAGTGCTAAGAACAAGGTGTGTGTGAACTCATCGATTTTCTGTCTAGTCTTGCTATGGTCTACTTGTGTTGCACTCTAACACAATGTAGTTATAGGAAGTATCGGAGAAGAACAAACAAAATAGTGCAAAAGTGAAGTATCACCAGGCTATAGGATCTCATTCCTATGTTGTCTAGCTGCAAACATTTGTAAGTGATGGTTGCATTTTATTGTTACTCTTGCCTTTATATAAATATAAATAGAAAATAATGTGCAATGTAAACAGAAGAAGAACAAGAGGAAGGCCGCAGAACATGATCAATGACTTGATAAACAACATGACGATCAAGAACTTGATGAACAACATGGTCGACCTGATGAAGATATTAATGTTGTGGAAGTCTTTAAGGACTTCCATACCAGTAGAAAAAAGGTCCTGAGCGATGTTGCAAGAGCAGCCGTTATAAGTACCTTCATTTGCTTTTCTTGAAATCTACTGAAGTCATTGCCATAAAAGAAGTAAAAGTAGGAGGAGCCTAATGTGGCGTCATCATTTAATTTTGATGTTGCAATTTTACTCCAATCAATATGGTACCTGTACATTGTGCTATGGAAACTATACAAGCAGAATCAGTTGCTAATATTGTTTTTAAGGTCCTCTGCCTCTTCTAGGGCAAGGTCCCCTCCCAGAGCAGCGGCAACACCCTTTTTTGAAGAATGCTGGTATCCTGACAAGCTCCAAAAGAACAAAGACATCGACGGAGAGAACACTTCAGGAACAACTTGTTGCTATACTGAAAAGTTCCGCTGCCCTCGTCGAACAAGTGAATGCACTAAAGAGGATAACAGAAAAGACTGGTAGGGAGATTGAGGAGTTCAAGAAACAGCACCAGGAGGAGTATAATAAGCTCCGTGAGGATATCATGAGCTTTGGCTCTTCATTGGGTATCTCTCAGTCTTCAACTCCTGTGGGCTTGCATGATGCAGTGGAGATTTGTGGTTTGATGTGTGGACTCGTGTGTCGGTTTGATGTGATGAAACTCTATTAGTGGCTTGCTACTGATGTGTGAACTATAAATTGTTGTTATTTGATTGCCAGGTTGAATAATTATGTAGTCATTGTTTGAGTAATTATATAGTCATTCTGTGCAGCAGTGATGATCTCGAATTATTTTTTGGATGAAATGATTGTTCTGCACACGGTAGAACCAAGACATGCCATGTGATCTAATAAAAATGTGACACGTTGATGAGCCAGTGCATGATGCGTGAAATAGCCAGGATACGACACGTGGACTATTAAAAATCCGATACGTGGAAGGAAGCCATCAAGCCACGTGGCCAAATTAAAAAGCAAAACATAGACAGACAACACCGTGACGCGTGGTTGAATAAGAAACGACCACGTGGACCAATAAAAATACGACACATGGTCTAATGTAGAATTGACATGTGGGCTAATAGCAACACAAAACGTGTGCTAGTAAAAACTGACAAGTGGAACAACAAGAACCCGACACGTGGTACAGTAAGATCCTGAAACGTGCAAGAACCAGCGAGGGCCAGGTTGTCCAATAAGAAGGTGACACCTGACCTGAAGCATCTCCAACGTAACTGGCTATAGCATGTACACGTGGAAGGATCACCAATGAAAGCACCTGCTAGTGTGGCTGTCCCCTGCCACGCATGCCAAAACAGTTTTATGACAGTCAGTTTTTCATCACAGATCAAGCCACTTATATGACGAGTTGCTCGGATTCGTCATGCATGTTCCAATGTGTCACATTGTTTTTGATAAACGATTTTTCATCATAAAACGTAAATTATGATGAATTTCGAGGGACGAGAGCTGTTAGTCTTGTATGTGCAGATTTCTACTAGTGACAAGGTCAACGTAGCCTCATGGGTACTTATCCACAATGTCTTTGATAAGATCTTTAAGGGCATCTAGAATTGGCCACAACTATCCTTATTTCTAAACTGTAGCTCAATTCAGGGTCCATTAAGGCAGATCTATGAGAATAAACTAAGCATCTACCACCAGGCTAAATGCATGACAATGGAGGAGGACAAGAATAAGAGAACAACTCACCCGCATGGAAGCCACGTTGATCGCACAACTGACTCCGCCATCGCGATTCCCTACATCTCGCGGTCACCCTCAACCAAGGAACCCTGGTGCCCGTGGCTTTGGATGCAGTGATTCCACTTTATTTGGTCCCTACCATCAGCCCCTCCTCATTTGCGTTGATTTGCTTGCTTAGTCTAGTCAAATCCACCTCTTCTCACCGCCATCTCAGTTCTTTCGGCTAGGGTTTCTAGAGAGAGAGGAGCTTGAGAGAGAGAACAAGTGAGGAGTTTGGGGCTACAGTCCAATTCGGGAGCTGGTGGGTACGGTGGGGTCAGCACAAGACATAGGGTCACACAAGACTTTTCACATTCCAATCTCTTCCAGTTTTGCTTCTTGATCAGTTCGGTGAACTGGCTTTTCAGCATGATGGAGGTAGTGAAAATGACACATAGGACTAGAGAACTTTGTGCGAAGGACTGACGTGGACCAACCAAAATTTCCATGGTATATAAGGAATTAAAATCTTTTATCATGGCTCGTAGGTAAATGTCTTATTTTACAATCAATCATCACTACAGGATCCCCAAAATACTAGGGTTAAGACCATGAGATCGCAAAACAAAGGGAGAAAGAAAAAGGGAAATGCGCCAGAGGTGAGAGGTACTGGATCCGTAGGGGAAGATGCACTGCCATGAAGGTCTACCACTAAACGAGGTCTGCTCATCTTGTATACGTAGGTGGTGGTTCGTCTGGGCTTTTCATGCCTGAAGGATGAAGTCCCAACATGGGCGGCCTGTTCGCTTGCTCGTATACGATCGTGGATTATAAGCTGAAACAGTATTTTTCTCTCACACCAAACCAGCCAGCAGTAAATAATCCATGATCGTTTACGACGTAACGAACAGGCTGTGGTTGGTGAATTTAGGCCAGGGGTAAAACTATCTTTTCATAAATCTGATATTGGCAAAAGAAAAAGATAATTTCAGATTTTGTAATGGAAATGGACGGAGCGGTGGAAAGGTGTGACGTTGCCATCTTTTATGGTATATGTAGCAAAGACTCAATCTTTTAGTGCTATATCTCTCCAAAGATGTGAACTTTTAATGGTACGCTGCCAATTTTCGTAGTACAACTATTGTTCCTTAAATGTTCATAGAAGCACTATTTGCAATTTATTTAGCAAAATCAAAAGATATAGGATAATCTAGTTACTGAGCAAGATATACTTTTAACTTCAGAAACCACTTGCTCCATCCATTAGTCCGGCCAATACCAATAATGGTTACGGGGACCAATAATTTCTCCACCCTGTACATTAAATCAGCTTAAGGTGAAACTACAAGTTAATGTGTGTATATACTCTAGGTCCACATGCATTCTAGCTAGATCTGATTCTTACGGGCAAAAGGTACATTATTTTCTACGGTTATCTGCAGTGGAATTCTGGTAACAACTGTACTTCGTTCTTTATGATGATGATGATGATGAAGCCTATCGTCCTTGCAGTACCAAATTCGCCGCCAGTTCACGTGCTTTCAAGATGAGAGGATTCAAATCTCTACACCGCTTTCTTGCAAAGTACAAGTAAAGATCTACACGAACATACTACTGCATAAACTACTAAATTAAAGTACGTACTACAAGTTACGTATCTGCTAGATAAATAATTAAAATAAAAAAACAGAGTTCTATATATATGATGAAACCATTGATATATTTCTTTCTTTGAAGAAAGATGAAAGCATTGGTATTGTTTTGTACTTTGAAAAGTAGAATTCCAGTATTCCAAATCAACAGAGGGGATGAAGAGTTTACGACGAGTAAGGGTCAGACGTACACTTCATCTCCGATCGAGTGGACCATGCATATATATATGCATGTATTGTGTCCAGCGCATATATGATATATATATATATCATATATATATATATCATATATATATATATCGCTGTATCATCCATTCTTCCTGCAAAATTAAAGCCCATATATATATAGCAGTAGTTGTTGCATGCAGCATATGCAATCTGGCATCCATGTGCTCGAGCACGCAAGCACGTACTCGTAGTACTTACGTATCTACTGATCGAGATGCATGCCTACTACGAGTTGCCCGGATATAAATGTAGATCGCCAATCAAGACGATCAAAAATTGAATTCAGCTTGATCCAATCCGATCCGATCCGTCCGGACGGACAGCATGGTTTCGAGTAATTTCCCAACTACAAAACCGGCGCCCCATCTTCGAGGGAGATGCACGCCGTGCATCTGCGTGTGATCGATATATCCGGTTCCTGTTCGTTCGCGCCTATAAAAGCCATGGCGCTGGGCCGATCTCCTCCACACACACACAGTCACACACACAAGCTAGCTAGCAAGACCATGGCATCACGAAGGATGCTCCTCGGCGTCTGTGCCGTGCTGATGGCGGTCGCCGTCGCCAACGCGGCAGAGGGCCAGGTGGCGTCGGTCGTCGTGGGCCTGGCGAGGTGCGCCGACTGCACGAGGAAGAACATGAAGGCTGAGGCGGCTTTCAAGGGTAAGCATGCCAGATGCGCCATGCGTGTGCTTTGCATGCATTCTATGCGATACATTGTCATTGGCCAAGTTGTTGAGACCACGGTTTCGTCTAATGCACTTAGTAGTAACAGGCACAGGCCTAAGTAAATTAGATATCTGCCTAACCTAAATTTTGAGAGACCTCTTTCCATTCCATCTTGGGAAAACCAAACTGTGTTCAATTAATTCCATGGCGCACAGGTCTTCAGGTGGCGATCAAGTGCAAGAACACCAACGGCGAGTACGAGACCAAGGCCGTGAGTGAGCTCCAAAGCACCGGAGCTTTCAGCGTCCCACTCGCTGCAGACCTCCACGGCGCCGACTGCCACGCGCAGCTCCACAGCGCCACCAACGTGCCTTGCCCCGGGCAGGAGCCGTCCATAATCGCGCCCATGTCTGGCGGCACCTTCGTCGCCATCCCCGGCAAGACGCACTACCCGTCCGCGGAGTGCGCGTCCGCGTTTCTCTGCTCCCCGATCAAGAAGCACTTCTTAGACCACTTCCACAAGGCACCCGTGCCGGAGCACAAGCCAAAGCCAGTGCCAGAGTACCACCCCACACCGGAGTACCACCCTCCCACGCCGGAGTACCACCCTCCCACTCCGGTGTACGGGCAGCCAAAGCCAACTCCGATCTACCATCCTCCCGCTGAGCACTGAATACATCAATTGAATTCCTGTGAATTCAGAATATTTTGCCACGGACGCCACAGCTCCAACGGCATGCATCAGGCTTGCGTTAGTTTTTAATAATTGTTGTACTGCATGTGTTCTTACTAGTGCGCCCATGGAGAATAAAATGTTGTGAATTAGTTGGGAGGCTGTACTTTGGTGATCGTTGTTTAGCTTTAATTTGCTTAATAAAAGCGGATTGTGCATCTTGTATTTTCGTCAGTGTAAGCAGCTTGCGCTCAGTCCTAAGTCGTTTGTTCTGTTTTAAATGTCAATAGATTACAATATTTTTTTTCTACGAACACATGGTGTCGGGTTCATAAACCCGGGGCCCCTCGCGAACCGACTTTCCAACAAAGGCTCGCCCGAGCAGACAAATGTATAACTCATGTGCCGGCCCAAGTACCTAAATAACAGGCCAAAGGGCGATCAAATCTCCGACAGGGAGGCCTGGCCAAGGAGGAACAGTGCTCGCTTTCCGATTCCGGCCCACCTCTCCGATTGGAGCATTCGCTTCGGTCTCCAGCCCACCTCCGGACGGCCTCTCCGACCGGAAGGCCTGGTCAAAAGCACTCTTCCGACTCCGACCCGTGTCTCCAACCAGGAATGTGCCGAACCCCTGCTGATGGCTCTTCTCCGACTGGCGCGATAAGAACCAACTGGGACCAACCGATCGGGGATGCCCGCTCGGAAAGGACTAAGGAACAAACGGAGAAAAGCAAGGCAGGGCGCACAAGTCAAACCACAATACCAGGGACCGTATCTTGTACACCTGCAGAAACAGTACTCTGCAACCTCCGTGACATAACAGAGCCCAAACAGTATCGTAGGCGCCGATATTTTCCCCTACAGTATTGTGGGCGCCGTTAACTCCCATACAGTAAGGCTCCCCCACATGCCTCTGGGCATCGACAGTGTTGTGGGCGCCGACATTTACCGTACCGAGTGAACATGGTAAAACTCCTCACATGCCTCTGGGCATCAACAGTATAGTAGGTACCGATGATGTAGACTAGGCCCGATCTTCCGAAAGGTATGATAGCGTCGATGGGTGGAGACTTGACGTTCACGATCTAGGCTTCGAACCAAGACTGATTCAGACCCCCGCAACCGTTACACCACTGCTCCGTTGGTTATCAACCACGCAAACGCGATTGACCTCGCTGAGAAGGCTTTCCTGCAAGTGAATCGAGAACACAAGCAAGAACGAGATGAACGCAATCTGAAATTGCAAATAAATATGAGGCTTATGAAGATAAGAAGGAGTTCAAGTCTTTATTCGAAAGGACTAATCGCCACAGGCGAACAAGATCAAGAACTGGGGCCCTGGTTCACAGCAAGCGGCCTTGGCGGCGACAGTTGCAGCAAAACGATGTCTGTTTCACGAGGAAATCAAGAACTAAACAAAACCCCAAACCCTAAGGAGAGCGACGGCTGCTAATTATAGAGTCTTGGGTGTCACCCCCCTGGACGCGCCCCCTAATGGGCCCAAACATGATACATGGTCCAACAGACCAAAATACGGTGTCGCAGCACCCTTGCAGATTCTGGACGCTGACTTGTTTCGACGATTTCCGTTGATTCCGAACAGCTTTTGACATAAGACCACTTGGATTGGCTTCCTTATCAAATTAGCTTTCAATCCATATGTGGATCGTCGAAAACGGAGTCCGGATGCGTCCTGGATGACCAGTTTAATGCAGACTGGTCCTGGAGGCCGAGATGGATTCGAACGTGATTTGGGCCTCCACCTTGGTGACTCGAACCGGATGAGCTTCGGGCCTCCTTCTCGCTTAGGACACCCTCGCTGATCTCCTTGTTCTCCATATGGTTCTTTAAGCATGGTCATATGAATGGAGGTCATGTCCTCATCATCCTCTCTTTCTTGATGAAAAGCCGTCCTCGGCGTCGATTTTATTTGTAGTCGATCCTGCACAACATGAGGACAAATGAGGTTTCCAAAATAATGGGAATGAACAATGTTGTGAGAAAGAATATGACCATATGTCCAAGTTTGTAGCATGTCATGCCCTACAGACATGTAGTTTGCTCGATTGAAATACACACGATCTTTGTCAATACTATCCTACAAAAGATTCGTACTAACAAGAAACATATGCTCCCTTTCTTTGAATTCCACTTGTGTTCGAAAAGCAAAACTAGAGGAATATGGCATAACAGCAGTGTTGGTTTTACTGTCCTCTACTTGATCATTACTTTGCACAACAAAAGGAGAATTCGGATTTGTACAAATGTAAACTCGTTGTATCAAATATTGCCCTTGGTTATTATATTTACCAAAAACATAATATGTATGTCTAAAGAACCATGGCAAATCAACATATGCATAAAGTTTCTCCTCTAAAGAACTAAGATTATACGGAACATCAAATTCAATGTAACCCAAAGTATTTGAAGAAGACAACAATTTTAGCTCAACTTCACTAGCATTATGAATAATAAGTCTATTTTGAGCACAAGGGCTCAATTTCAGCACACATATAGCGTGATCATTCTTCAATGATTGCATGTGTATAACATAAATATTATCATGCAAGTCATCTTCATCACAAGAAACATCAAGCAAATCATCTTGTGACAAAGGTAAAACAAGCGATGGCTCCACTAAAATTTGCTCTATCATAGCATGATTGGTGGAAAAATTTAGCACATGAAGAGAACTCTCACCTTCTGTGAGTTTAGCATCATGGGCATTACCTTTGCTCTCATGTTCAGAAGGAGTAATAGTTGATGGTTCTAAATTTTCACATGAGGCTGTGAAAATCTCATTTTCTATCACGTCATCCTTGCTCTTTTGTACATTGTCCTGCAAAAGGTTAGGCAAAGCAGGAGGAATAACAAGAGATTGATCTAGTTGATGCAACTCATTATTTGAATTCAAAACAGGAGGTGAATTAACAAAGGTTTCTCGCATAAGAAGTTTCATATCATTCCAAGTTTGAGGTTTATCAGAAGGGTCTAAAGACTCCCACCAAGATAAAGTAGAATGTCGCAAAACACTTGCTGCATTTTTTACCTTCCTCCTTGGACACATAAAGCGAGTAGCAAATATGTTATCGATGGCAATTTCCCACTCCATTTACTCATCAGCACCTATACCATCATAGGTCGGTGGATACGAACAACCTGTCATTATTAGAAGACAGCAAAAGACAACACAAAAGTATTACCCATATCAACTACTTAGATTGTGGACAAGTAAAAATAAGGCACTCAAACTCTCAAGCGTCTTACCACGGTCTTACAAGTGTTCTTACCAAAGCAACAGGCGGTGCAATCGGTCGGTGACTATGATACCGTTGTAGCTCGAGTATAACAGTTGCAAGGCGAACCTGTATTTGGTTAGAAGAAAGTGAAGCTTGGACAGGCACAATATAGTAGCAAGGAATACCAAAATTCGCAACTGAATAGCAAAGCTGAATAAGTATTCCAAGTACTTGTCTTAGTTGCTGGCCTACTCACGTTCCAAGTACCAGATGTATCAAGTGATGTGAATAGCAAGAATATGATCAGGAACAAGGTAGAAATCAGCACACGCAAACACAGCTCAAATGGCGCTCTCTATGTGCTCCTCTAGATATTGTTCCTCTTTTGCCCTCTCTTTTTTTCTATTTTTTGGGTTGTCGTTGTTTTTTTGGGAAATTTTGACTTTTTCTTTTTATTTTTTTGATATTTTTTCTTTACTTAGGAGCACAAAAGAAGTAACCACAGAAAATATGAGCTTAAACAAGTGAAAGACGTGGCCCGTGGAATTTTTAGAAAACTTGCTCAAAATCGACAAAAACTTTGTGACCAAGAAAAGATGATCTTGTGACCACTTTTTGACCAATCTAAAATTTTTGAACCCCGACATGTCGGGGGATGGACGGATCCGAATTTTTTTTCTGATTGATTTTGATATATGGAACGTCGAAAACGGAGTTCGTATGCGAAAACTAGACCAGTTTTACGAATCGACTATGAATTAGAGGACAAAACGGGAACAATGCGCGGAAAAGTTGTCACGGCAGCAAGGATTTGATGGAAACAGTGAAGAAAGAGTAACAAAATAGATGACGTGAACTAGGGTTTGATGGATACAAAGGAAACACAGCAAGACTTGAAGGTGTTTACGGATGATGATAAAAAACAAAGAAAAAGACACAAACTGGACTCAGAAACGTCTAAAACCAGCAACTAGAACTTGACCTAGGACACAAACTCAACAACGCGGAACAAAAACGAAATTGCAAGGCACAATGAGGTTATAGGACAGGGAATATGTGGCAGTATATATTTTTTTTGGCTTTTTTGGACTATAGGTAATGCAAAAACAGTAATAATCTAAAGGAAAAACAAAGTTATACCTAACGGGCAACAAGGTCTCTGATACCACTTGATGTAGACTAGGCCTGATCTTCCAAAAGGTATGATAGCGTCGATTGGTGGAGACTCGACGTTCACGATCTAGGTTTCGAACCAAGACTGTTTCGGATCCCCGCAACCGTTACACCACTGCTCCGTTGGTTATCAACCACACGAACACGATTGACCTCGCCGAGAAAGCTTTTCTGCAAGCGAATCGAGAACACAAGCAAGAATGACATGAACGCAATCTAAAATTGCAAATAAATATGAGGCTTATGAAGTTAAGAAGGAGTTCAAGTCTTTATTCAAAAGGACTAATCGCCACAGGCGAACAAGATCAAGAACTGGGGCCCTGGTTCACAGCAAGCGGCCTTGGCGGCGACAGTTGCAGCAAAACGATGTCTGTTTCACGAGGAAATCAAGAACTAAACAAAACCCCAAACCCTAAGGAGAGCGACGGCTGCTAATTATAGAGTCTTGGGCGTCACCCCCCTGGACGCGCCCCCTAATGGGCCCAAACATGATACATGGTCCAACAGACCAAAATACGGTGTCGTAGCATCCTGACAGATTCTGGACGCTGACTTGTTTCGACGATTCCTGTTGATTACGAATAGCTT